GCACCCACTGGGGCCTTCGGTGGAGCTCCCTATGGTGCCACGAGCCGTGTGAGAGGTGTGCCGTAATGGGTGGCGATGACGCTCGATGATGATGGTGACGGTGATACTGATGATGGGGAGAGGGAGGGGGGGCAGCGGGAGGAGAAGGAAGGACGCGCGGCGCTTTCTCTTCAAAACGAGGACCCAACACCACAGGACGGTTGGGAAACAATGGGATCTCCGTGCAGATTTCTTGGATCGGCGTTGGACCTCTCCCAGGGGCAACGATAGGGGGGATAGGCATAGGCGGAACGCATCGACCCCCAATCGCCCATTGATCGCCGATAGGGGTATGATAGTCCCAACCCGCCCAGGAAGGTGTCGATTCAATATCGGGGGCCTTATCGCCGATCTATCGGCGATCTATCGCCGATTCCAGGTCGATGCATCCCCCCCATGCCAGTCCCCCCCCATCGTTGCCCTTCGCTCTCTCTGGCGAGCGGAGCGCGCCAGGGGTGGCGCTGGAGACGCCGCCAGCGGGGCCCAGCGCCGCTCCAAGAAACCCGCGCGGAGGTCAAACCGTTTTTGCTTGTTCAGTTTTGTTCGCCTTCGAAGGAGGGCGGCGATTACACAGAGAGAGAGAGAGAGAGCGTGACCAGGAGGAGGAAGTGGAGGAGGAGGAGAACCACTGCAAACCCAAGACTCATCCAAGGTGTTGCAAAACAGCCCTCCAAGTTCCCCTTTCATAGGTCCCTACAAGGATTATTCCCAACCCTCCTACGTTGGGTTCTCGTTTTGACTAGAGCACTGCTCGCGCGTCTCCTTCCTTCCCTCCCGCCCCTCTCTTCCCCCTTGCCGTCGCTCGTCGCTGCGTGCCAGCTGGGGGGCTGCGATCTGCGAAACTGTCGCCACTTTCGAGGCCTGCTGGGGGGCCCAGCACAGTGGGTACTCACCGCAAACTCAAATAGGACCTCGCCATCCCTGGGGGGCTGCGATCTGTGAAACTGCCGCCACTTTCGAGGGCTGCTGAGGGGCCCAGCACAGTGGGTACTCACGGCAGACTCAAATAGGACCTCGCCGTCCCTGGGGGGGCTGCGATCTGTGAAACTGTCGCCATTTTCGATGCCTGCTGGGGGGCCCAGCACAGTGGGTACCCACGGCAGACTCAAATGGGACCTCGCCATCCCTGGGGTGTTGCGATGTGTGAAACTGCCGCCACTTTCGAGGCCTGCTGGGGGGCCTAGCACAGTGGGCAGTGACGGCAGACTCAAATGTGACCTCGCCATCCCTGGGGGGGCTGCGATCTGTGAAACTGTCGCCACTTTCGAGGCCTGCTGGGGTGCCCAGCACAGTGGGTACTCACGGCAGACTCAAATGTAACCTCGCCATCCTTGGGGGGCTGCGATCTGTGAAACTGTCGCCACTTTCGAGGCCTGCTGGGGGGCCCAGCACAGTGGGTACTCACCGCAGACGCAAATGTAACTTCGCCATCCCTGGGGGGCTGCGATCTGTGAAACTGTCGCCACTTTCGAGGCCTGCTGGGGGGCCCATCACAGTGGGTACCCACGGCAGACTCAAATGGGACCTCGCCATCCCTGGGGGGCTGCGATCTGTGAAACTGTCGCCACTTTCGAGGGCTGCTGAGGGGCCCAGCACAGTGGGTACCCACACGCAAATTCAAATGTAACCTCGCCATCCCTGGGGGGCTGCGATCTGTGAAACTGTCGCCACCTTCGAGGCCTGCTGGGGGGCCCAGCACAGTGGGTACCCACGCAGACTCAAATGGTGACCTCGCCATCCTGGGGGGCTGCGATCTGTGAAACTGTCGCCACTTTCGAGGCCTGCTGGGGGGCCCAGCACAGTGGGTACCCACGGCAGACTCAAATTAGACCTCGCCATCCCTGGGGGGCTGCGATCTGTGAAACTGTCGCCACTTTCGAGGCCTGCTGGGGGGCCCAGCACAGTGGGTACTCACGGCAGACTCAAATGGGACCTCGCCATCCCTGGGGGGCTGCGATCTGTGAAACTGTCGCCACTTTCGAGGCTGCTGGGGGGCCCAGCACAGTGACCCACGGCGGACTCAAATAGACCTCGCCATCCCTGGGGGGCTGCGATCTGTGAAACTGTCGCCACTTTCGAGGGCTGCTGGGGGGCCCAGCACAGTGGACCCACGCAGATTCAAATTAGACCTCGCCATCCCTGGGGGGCTGCGATCTGTGAAACTGTCGCCACTTTCGAGGCTGCTGGGGGGCCCAGCACAGTGGGTACCCACCGCAGACTCAAAGACCTCGCCATCCCTGGGGGGCTGCGATCTGTGAAACTGTCGCCACTTTCGAGGCCTGCTTGCGGGGCCCAGCACAGTGACGCCTCCCAAGTAGCTTACACATCAAGTTGATTGTCCATACAAGTTTCGGCCAACTCCTCGTTTCCGTTGATACAAATGGGTTGGGTACGTCACAGGATAATTGGCATATTTTCACTGCGGGGAGTGTTCTGTTGGACGACAAGCGTTTGAAAATCTTCAACCATGCCAAAACACCGTTCCTGGGACTTCAACGCCGCGAATCAACGTTACTGTTGCGTCCAGACGGTACTGAATCGCGCCAGAACACCATTCTGGGACTTCAAGTGGTTGTCGCGCCCTGACTATCCTCCAGAAGGAATCCTGGGACATCAACCATAATAATCCTGATATCTGCTGTAATTTGTTGAGACGAATGTGCGCGGTGCTGACGCGAAAGTTACATTTTGAAAACGAGTTTTCCTCCATCCGTTACCCTCTTGCGAACCTGAAAATTGAATGTGGCCGACGCTAAGGCGAGAGCCACTTGTTGAAGACGAGCCGCCCTCCATCCGTGAAGTTAAAACGAATGTGCGCGGTGCTAACGCGAGAGCAACATTTTGAAAACGATCCGCCTTCCATCTGTAATGTTTCAGGCGAACGTGCCCAGCGCTCAGGCGAGAGCCGTATTTTGAAAACCACCCGTTTTTTCCTTGTGAAAGTCTTGCAGACTTCAAACTTCAGGATCATAAGCGCCGAAGAAGTCTCAGGCGGAACGCAGCGCCTGCCCTACCGACCAGTCTCGGGGCGCGACAGGAAAGAGTTGTTCGAAAAGGATGAAGGATGAAGGAGGAGGAGGAGGAGGAGGAGGACGAGGCGTCTTTCGAAAAGAATAAAGGAGGAGGAGGAGGAGGAGGAGGAGGAGGAGGAGGAGGAGGACGAGGCGTCTTTCGAAAAGAATAAAGGAGGAGGAGGAGGAGGAGGAGGAGGAGGAGGAGGAGGAGGACGACGACGACGACGATGACGACGACGACGAGCGGGAGGAGGAGCCGCTCGGGTTCGGACGCTCGGGCCCCCGCGGCACGTCACGCAGGGCACGCCGGCGTGCGGGGGCGGGAGGAGCAGGGTCCCCTCCCTGCGTGCAGCCCCCCCGCGCCCCCCCCCCGCACGGGGCCTCTCGCGCTGGCTGGCGGGCCCCTCGCGCTGCGCACGCGCAGCCCCCGCAGGCGGCCCCCGGCGGGCCCGAGCAGGCCCCCCGAGCAGGCCCCCCGAGCAGTCCGGGGCGGTCTCCACACCCTGGCGCTGCCCCTGGCGGCGCCCCTGGGGCGCTCCGCGCCCCAGCGTGGCGGTGCCACAGCCGCCCCCGACTCCTGGGGGGCTGTTGGGGCCATCCGTGACTATACCCGGGGGGTTGTCGGCGCGTAGCCCAAAGCCTCACCACCATATCTCCTACTACCTTGAGACCACTGGCGTTGCATGCATTCTTCACGCTGGGCGATCTTGCCGTGTTTAGGGCCGCGGGGCCCTCAAGGATCGATTCGCCTCGAGAAAGGTCGAAGTAAGATGCGGTCCAGGGCCGTTTGTTGACTACTTTCGCAATTAGGCTTGCTTAAGGGGTTCTTACTTGCTTAAAGGTTGGTACCTCGGGGGGGCTACTTTGCCCGTTCCTCGGAGGTTCCCCTAGTTCCTCGGGTTCCGCGAGTTCCCTGGGTTCCCTGGTTTCCCCCGGTTCCTTGGATTCCTCGGGTTTCCGGGGTTCTTCGGGTTCCTCGGGTTCCCCGGGTTCCCCGTTTCCTTCGGGTTCCTTGGGCAATTCCTGTTCATCGGGTTCCCCGTGTTCCTCGGGTTCCTCGGTTTTCTTTGGTTCCCCAAGCAGTGCCAAGCAATGCCAGCAATGCCAAGCAATGCGATGCAATGCCAAGCAGCAATGCCAAGCAGTGCCAAGCAATTCCAAGCAATGCCAAGCAGTGCCAAGCAATGCCAAGCACTGCGCCCATGCAATAAGAAGCTGTCCCCTAATTGCGGTCGCGCAGGGTTCATTTTTTCCGCGACGTCGGATCTCAGGGTATTATTTCGTTCATCCGCTGGAACCACAGGTTGAGATGTCAACAGCAACAGCAACCAGGTATAAGGAGAGAGGCGAGGGAAGAGAAATGTTACATCCCAGTTATTCCATTGGTAGATGGGGTCCAGGGGGTAGAGAAGACCGCTAACTCGGGGTGAGGGGCGTTCCAAAAATCCCCAGGTTCAGAAGGGACGGGAAGTACCGTGCATTGATCGTACATTGGTCGCTAAATAGTGTGACCATGACTGCGCAAGCCCCTGTTGAGCAATAGGTCGAGCCATTCACGAGTCTAGGAGCGTTCACACACAGCAGACACATTGTTGCCTGACCTGATTCTCATCTTGCCTTCCCCCTCCTGCTCACCCACCGCCTCCGTCGGCTTCTCTTCCGCCGCCCCGCGACTCCCATCGGATCAGGCAGCCTCCAAGACCCATCATCCCTTGACTCCAGGTCACACTATGTTGCTTTAGTTTTCGATCGCGCAGCGAGCGGGTCTAGTAAGAGCTGAAGAACAACACAAAAACATGAATAAGCACAAGCTGGATTTACACGCTCCCGAAGCGCCGAGCGAGATCGCTGTAACCAGACGGAGTCAGGAGGTCTAACGCGTGAATGGCTGATCGCAGTGGCGTGCTCGATGCGTTTCTGCGTCGGTTGCGTTCACGTGCTGTCCAGGATGGCATTGCTTGGCCAACTGGAGGCGCGAGTGGACCATAGAGGCAGCGCTGACTCGCTGTGCTTGTTCATGGGGGGTGATGGACAGGGAGTAGACAGAGCGCCAGACGTTTACCTCTACACCTTTAGAGTGATAAGCATGTTAGTGGAGTGGTAAGCATGTTAGTGGCTCTCCGTTGCCCTGACTGGGACGCGACTTGTATTTGATTGTGCCAGCACGTGCGTGTATGAATTCAGACATACGCCGCTTTCTCCATGTGACTTGAATTGGTCATGCGTTCTAGACGATCGGTATCGGAGCGACGGATAGCCTTGGGCTGGCATTTCAAGCAAGATTTACGATGCTGTTTATATGCGTGAGCACATCGGCGTTGGTGTCATGCAGAATTCTGAGCAAAGTGATCGCCCTCCACCATGGCACAACCGTGCATTCTGACCTGCATCATCCCTGGTCATCCTTCTCCGTATTTCGACGTATTAGGCAGAAGCAACGCTTTGTTTTCACTATTGAGGTGTATGTTGTTGGTCTACGCGGCTCATGATCGACGCTCTTAATATTTTCGATAGTAAGCTCGAGTTGCTGGTGTGCGCGCATGCGTGTATGATCTACGACACTGCTCATTGAGTCCCACTTGAGACAGCATTCATCGGTGGCCTTGATCTCATCATCATTCTCTTCAGCATCCCCCCTAATCCTCCCGACTGCTAAACGTCCTGCTGCTGCTCCTCCTTCTGCTCCCTCTCCTCCCGATTGCCGCTCGCCCACCCACCCACCCACGACCGCCACTGGTCCTGACCCGCCCTCCCCCCGTGGAGGGCGTCGACCCAAAAAACACCGATCCTGGCCGGGCCGGCACAGGAGGCAGGATCGGCGAAGCGCGCAGCTTGCCAGGATTCGCAGGGCGCCAGCCTTTGCCCAGGATGGGCTTGGCCAGGAGAAGTGAAGGGAGGCGACGGCGAGGGGTGGAGGAGCGGGGGGGCGGACGAGGAGGAGTATCAAATCAGGGGGGGGGGGAACCCGCCCCGAATCAGATAATTGGCGTTTGCTACGGGGAGGTGAGCGTTTACTGAACAGCACTGCCATGTCCGATTCTTCCCTTCGGTGCGTTTACGAAACCGCTTCGCTTGTCTGGGTGCGGAGGTGGAGGGGGGAGAAGCGGGGGAGAAGAATCAGAGGAGCATGCCTTCTCCTCCCACGACCACGACAACGAGGCCGACAACGACCACGGCTTACATGACGAGTCCTCTCGCCCCCCCCCCGCGAGTGCAGTTGGGCCAGCCTTCGAAAAGAGACCACGACAAGGCCGACGAGGACGACGACGACGGCTTGCGTTCCCACCCGCACGAGATCGTCCTGGACAACTTGCGAAAGCCGTCGTCGTCGGCGGGCTGGCGACAGCGGCTTGCGTTCCTCCCCTAACACACACACACGAGTTCGTCCTGGACAACCTGCGAAAGCCGTCGTCGCCGGGCTGGCGACAACGGCGTGCGTTCCCCTCCAACAATCATACACACACCCGAGAAAGCCATGGACAGTTTGCGAAAGCCGTTGTCGTGGGCGGCATCGTTGGCGTCGTGACGTTGTCGTCGTCATCATGGGCATCGTCGTCGTCGGTCTCGTCGTGCTCGCGTCTGCTCACTGTGGCCACGGGCTGTCTTTGCTGTGGACAGGCGCACGTGCGCGCTGGGCGCCGCCGTGGTGGGCAGGCGGCCACGCCCGCGGAGGCAGCGATCCCCCCTGCGCGCGCTCCGTTCTTCGGGCAGAGAGCGACGGGCGCCTCTGCGCAACGGGCGCGCCCGCAGTCCTCCACCCGCGCGTAAAGCTTACAGCTCGGCGGCGGCGCGCCGCGCCGCGCGATCGGCGGCGCGCGGCGCGGTGTCCACGAGCGCCGAGGCGCGCCGCGCGGTCAGGACGTGCGACGGCGGGCGCGGCGCGGCGCGGCGCGGCCAGGGTGGGGGCCGCGTGCGCTCCGCGCGGTCGCAGTCGCGAGCGGCTTCTTCGGCGGGCGCTGAGCAAGCGCGGCGGGGAGCGGCCCGCGCGCGGTTGTGCGCACGACCGCGCGCTGCGCAGGCGGCGCGGCGGTGCAGCGCCGCGGGCCTCGCGGCCGTGGGCACGACAGCACCGCGCGGCGCCCGGGCGCGCCGCGGCGTCTCGTCGGCACGCCGCCCTGCCTTGGCGTGGCACCCTGGCGCGGGCTGCCCGGCGCGGTATGCCCGGCGCTCGACCAGCGGCTGGCCCGCGCGAACAACCGCGGGACAACCACGGGACAGCCACTCTAGGCCTCCCATGGGGTCCGAGTAGATGGGGTCTGACGATCGTGCCGCATCGCCTATGCACCGGCGATGCGGCTCGATGTGGCGGTGATGATGATGTTCTCCATGCCGATGGCGCAGATGCATCGGCGATGCGGTGCATCTGCTGAAAACCTATTTGGGAGGCCTCTACTTGGGAACACCACGGGAAATCCTCAGGGCAACCGCGGGGCAGCTCCTCGCACACGCGAGCGCACGCGGTTCGTGCTGGCCCGACCTGGGCCTGGCCAGGGCAGGAACAGCATCGTTTTCGCGCAGCGTCGCGTCGCGCGCACGACAAGAGCCGCAATCGAAACGGGTGTCCCGTCTGGGGGCCTCCGTCTCATTTCGGCCGCATCCCCTCGACGTGTAATGCGTGCCCCCGTCATCGTTCACTCCTTCCCTCTTGCTCCTTCTGTCCCGTCTTTCCGACTCCTTCCTTCACCCCCCTCTTCCCTCCCTCCTCATCCTCCCTTTTTCCTCGTCACTTCTTTGCCCCCCCTCATCCTTGTCCTTTTCCATCCTTCCTGCTTCCCCCCTCCCGTCCTTGCTCCTTCACTCATCCTCATCCCGGAAACTTGGATACGTCACGTGACGCGAATCTGAGGAGGAGGAGGAGGAAGAGGATGAGGAGCAGGACAGTGGGCAGGGAACTTCGCATCACGTGGCGCAGTCCCTCGACCGATCCTCCCTCCTTCCATCCTCGTCCTCCCTCCTCCCTGTCTCCCTTCCTCCTCCCCCCCCCGCCGCAAGAACGTTTTGGACAACCCTCCCTCCCTCCCTCCCTCCCTCCTCCCCCCTCCCCCCCTCCCTCCCTCCTCCCCCCTCCCTCCCGCCATCCCTCCGTCCCCTTCTCCCTCCCCTTCCCCCCGCCCCGCCGCGAAAACGTCTTGGACAACCTCCCTCCCTTCCTTCCTCCTCCCCCCATTCCTGACTCCTCCTCCTCCCCACTTCCTCCCTCCCTCCCTCCCTCTCCCCTTCCCTCCTCCTTCGGTTCCCCCCCCTCCCTCCCTCCCCCCCCCGCCGCGAGAACGTCTTGGACAACCTGCGAAAAGAGATGACCAGCGCGCAGAACCGGCGGCTCCCGCAGCCCGCGGACGCCCCCGAGGCGGCGGGGGCGGCCCCCCACCGCCCCGCCTCATGCGCCGCCACCCGCCTGCCGCCGCCTGCCCCGCGGAGGGGAGGAGGATGAGGAGGAGCAGGACAAGGAGGAGGAGGAGGAGGAGGAGGAGGAGGACATGGAGGAGGAGGAGGGGGAGGAGGAGGAGGAGGACAGGGAGGAGAGGGTTCGGCCTGAGCGCAGGAGCACACCCGTGACTGTGCGTTCTCCAATTTACAGGCCTGAACCCCAAGCGTGTGCCATCCAGGCGCCGCGATCTTTTTTCCCAGTCACCGTTGAGAATACGAATCATTTCGGATTTCTTCTCGGAGAGGGCGAACAGCCCAGCTTAGCACAGGAGAGCCAGGCATCAGCGCCATCAGGCGCGAGTGATCGCCTCGATTCATCAGGCGTACTGAGCGTCTTCAGCAGCATCACAGTGCGCAGATGGTCTACAACAACACCTGGAAATGTACGCAGTGCTCCAGGAACGTGAAGACTGGGAAATTCCAGGTGCTTGTGTGGCCAGCACTACAGCAACAACGGCAACGGCAGCGCCAGGAGCCAGTCGGCAGCCAGGGAGAAGCAGCAGGAGCAGGCAAGCTTGAAGGCGTACGTCCAGAAGTTGCCGCCCTTGCCGCTGAGGGCTGCAGCCTCCCACTCTGCGTTTCGACCGCCGCCGTCGACGCAGAGGCCCCAGGAGGTGCAGTTCTACAAGAACGAGATAGAGCAGCAGCTCGGCAACATAGCCTCGATCGCGCTGTGCGCGAGGAAGGCGGGAAAAGGTCGATGATGCGGAGAAGCACGACATGGAGTTGAAGGTGCTCAAGACGTGCTTGTCTTCACTCCAGCCGATAAAGAAGCAGAAGGACGAGATCCGCTTCAAACTGGAGAAAGCAAAAGACATACTGACAGCTACACAGTCGAGGATTCGAGATGTGAAGGACCAAGATTACGAGATCGAGATGGAGATCGCTCAGCTCGAGAGTTGCCAGCGAGAACTATCCGAACTACCAGAAGAGGAGGGCGATTTCATGGGAGCGGGAACGGGTGGAGATGCAGTTGGAGGCTTTGGAGGATTGCCGCAGCAGCAGCAGCAGCCGCAACAGCCACCACCGCAGCAGCAGCTTCAGCAGCAGACTGGAGTGCAGCAGATGTACCCGCAACTGCAGTATCAGACACCACAGATGGGACAACAACCTGCGATGGGAAAAGGGAGAAAACATCATGGACCACAATAAATGGGAAGAAGGACGGCTCAGCCATATGTGGCAGGATCGGCAAATGGAGTACAGCAGCAACCGAACTTTCCGCCGCAAATGCCGCAACAGCAGTCCGACCCCAACATGATCAGCAGCGAGATGACGGTCCAGGTATTGCTGTTCCTTAAAACTTGAGCGACCGACAGCAGCAACCGGATCAAGTTGCACCATCAATGATGGGGTGGATTCAGAATCAGAGTGCGGGGTTTACCAGCGGATGCATGGGATCAGGCGGGGGGGGGGGGGCCGCCTCAGAGTGGGCCAGCAGTGGCGGCGCCGACGACGCCGCCAACGACGGGGCCGAGAACGCCTACGGGAGCGCCAGTACCGAGGACACCGATCGGAGGAATGCCTACACCGAGCATTCCAGCAGCTCAGGCGTCGCCAATGGGGCGGACAGCGCAGCCGCTACTGACCCCGACGGAGCCGGCGCCAACTCCAGCAAAAGAAGAACCCATGGAGAAGCCGAGGGGCGACCAGAAGCCGCCGAGAGGACCAGCTCCGTCACCAATCACGCCTACGGAACCGTGGATATCGGGGCTCACTCAGGAAGATCCGCATCTGCTGGGGAATGCGGCGCCGCAGACCTCAGTGACAGAGACGAAGATGGAGAGCCCAGACGAGACTTCCTTCACCCAGGAGTGCAGGAGGATCGACGAGATGCGCGCGGCAGCGGCAGCAGCGGGATCGGGATCAGCGCCCCCTTCATCGGCACCGACAGCCAGGGAGAGAGCGCCAGTGGTGCCGAAGATCAACCTGGTCTCGCAGGAGTCGGAGATCAGGTCGCCGCCGTCGAAGGCGGCCAAGGTGGAAGGAGCCGTGGGGGGCGCGTGAGGAAGCAGGTGAGCTGGGCACCTATTCTAGAAAACAACGCCGCTGAATTAAATACCCTGGGTCCTGGAGGGGTTATAGTTTTCCTGAATATATCTTGGGAGGCAGAGACTTTTTGTCCAGAGTTGGAGGCTCCAGCTTCAACAAATCCAATATTCCCAATTCGAGGTGCGACGGTGCGCGGCCTGCGCAGAGAAATCAAGCGGCCCATGCATGCGCAGAAGGGGCCGACATCGGTGCAGAGGGGGGCCACTTCGGCAACCACTTCTGTGGCATGCGGAACGAGTGACGCGTCCAGTGAGTGGGCTCCTGGGCTGGCTTCCAGTGTCTCGCAGTCGGGGCCCCGCGTGAGACTCGTTGAGAGAGCATTGCCATTGCTTGAGCAGTCAATTGCAGGTGAGCGTCTGCCATTTGAACTTTTAACGCTTGAGCAGTTGCAGGCCACATGAGTTCTGGAGCAGGATGCCGAGGCAGCACTGAGGGCATACCCTCACTGCGACTCGGCAGACGAGATCACGGCGATCCACTTTTTCACCGACGGCTCCTTATACCAGAGAGGGGAAGGGAAGGGGGCATGGGCGGTAGTAAAGATCTTAGAGAGAGGGGGAGTGTACATGTACGGGGGCGCGTTAAGAGGGGATCTTGCTCGTAGCAATGCGATGGGGCTGGTGCCATCAGTGGCCACCAGCACCACGCTAGAGTGCCTTGCAGTGCTTTGGGCCCTCATGCGGGTGCTAGTTGAGCAGCCTCAATGCAGCATCATGCTTGACAGCGACTCCATGGGCACTATACGAGCGGCAGTGGGGTCAGGGCTGCCAGCGTCTGATCTCCAGCTTGCTCGACTAGTTCAGGTGGCCTGGGACTTTTGCGCTGCCAAGAGCGACATAACGATTTCACACGTAAAAGCTCACGAGGGACACCCGTGGAACATACTTGCTGACAACATAGCCAAGTCGACGGCTAGAAAACTTCTCCCCGAGGCGCGAGAACTTCCTGAGAGTTGGGTCAAAGCGATTAGGTTCGAGGTCGCGTTTGTGGGAGTGGTGCTACTCACTTGATAGGGATGTGCACGCGTGCCCAGATTTCAGCGCTGCTGGAGGCAACTTGGTGATAGAAGCTGGCTTACCAGCTTGTGTCGCAACCGGTGCCACTGAGCAAGCTAAGACTCAGACGCGAATCAAGACCACGCCGATTGCTGTTGACATGAGAGTGGCCACACTTAATGTGCAGTCTATGCGACAGGTCTACCGCCGAGGAACCAAGGGGAGGAGCAGGGCGAGGAGGGCGGCGGCCCTCAGGTCGCAAATGCATCAGAAGGGGGGTTGTTTTGCTTGGTGCAAGAGGGCAGGGGCGAGCAAGGAACGAGGAGGAGCGGGGATTGGCTGTGCATCGCGGGGGGGCATGACAACTTTGGGCTGGGGTGCGAGCTTTGGGTTAATGTCCCCACCCCACATGGCAGGGCGAGAGGCAAGCCGCTGGTATTTTGCAAGCAGCATGTTCGGATTGCGCGGGCTTCCCCGCGCATCCTAGTGTGCAAGTTTGATTCGGCAGGGTTTGCTGTCGCAGTCGTGGTTTTGCATGCGCCTCATTCGGCGAACAGTGCGGAAGAAGAACGAAAGTTTTGGAGCGGTCTCAGGCAGGTTTCTGAAAAATGGAGCCCCCAGATTTGTTTTGTGGATGGCAACTGCCACATTGAGGGTCCTGGGGGAGAGGATGACGTCGCGGGCACAAAGGGCGCGAAAGGCATTGAGCCCCAGGGAAGTAGAAAACTAAAGGAATGGATGGATGATAACAAGCTGAAGGCTGCGAACGCCTTCCTGGGGCCTGAGGAAGACTATACATTTGTTGCTAGCAAGGCTGGCAGTAAGCATAGAATCGAATTCATAATTGGAGATTCTCAGGTTTTCAGCGCCATGAGCGAGTTAGAAGCCGATCACGGGATCGATCTCATCAGGAGAGCTGATGATCATTTTCCAGTGACTACCAGGCTGTGCTGGGCCAATGATGTTGCTAGGAAATCTAGGAAGGGCTCCAGTCTTGATTCTAAGAAGATGCGATATTCTGAGTGCATTAGGGACTTTAAGGAAAGGAAATCTAGGGTTGAGCTTCCGGAATGGGGCGTGGATTTCAATGCCCACCTCGATGGGGCTAACAAGCAGGTCAAGGAAGCTGCCCAAGTTCCCTTTGCCAAGGATTCTGTGCGGCCACGGAAGCCGTGCGTGCAAGAGGCGACCTTCTGGCTGATCAGAGTCAGGAGAAGCATCCAAAAGGTTTTACAAAAGATCCGTCAGCAGGGGGGGGGGGGCCGAAAAAAACACGTGAATTCCCTGTTCTACTTGATGCAGAGCATTCGGAAAGGAGAGCTTCGCAAGGCGGTGGAAAAAGCTACGGTTTTCTCTGGCGATTTTTTTTGGGGGGATCGGCCACGATTGGGCGCGGCTTGGGGAATTGGCCTCGGACCTTGTTTGGAAAATCCTGGACATTCTTGAGATGGTCCTTGGCCTGGTTCGTTTTGTGAGGACCTCGAGCGAGGTGCTGCTGCAGTCGTTGGATTACGACGACACCCTTTTTCTTGAGCAGCACGCCGACAAGATACATGTTGCCATCGATGGCAGAGTCTCGCAGGCTGAACGGAGGTTGACCGGGCAGCTTCTCACTCATGGTGGGAGAAGGCACAAAGAAGAACTTCTGTTTCCCCTGAGGCTCTCTCCTGAGGGGGGCCCCCTCGTCACCCCCGAGGAGGGCGCCAACGACCTCCAAAGACACTTCGGAGAGATAGAAAAAGCCGTGCAGGCGACCAACGTTGAGATCTTTCAGCCGCATAGTAGTAGAGGCTCTGTGCTTGCTGACACCGTGCCTAGGAAGCTGGACAACGTGATGCCGCGCCAAGAGCTTCAGAGAGCATTTGGGCGGCTC